AAAACCCCTCGGTCTGCAGGCCAGGAATGACGGCAGAGGTGCTGCCATCGAAACTGGGCCCCAACTCCAGGGAGCCGGGAGGGACGGGGCCAGGATGTAAGGGGGCAGGCAGCACATGGAGCAGCGGTCACGCGGACGGGCCGGGGTCTTGGGCAGTGGCCAGTTGGTCAAGTGCCACCAGAACTTAAAAAGTTGGAAGTGTACATCGACCCTTGACAGAAAAATCCAGATCTGCCGAATAGAGACCCGACGTGAGTGCTTTAATGGAGTCACCTGCCGCCCAGGTCCCAGCCTGAGCAGAGGGGGGAGGGGCCCCAGGAGAGGATTCTAACAAGTGTCCCACCCGCGGCCTTCCCCAGGTGCCTAGAGCATTGCTCTGGTCACCCCTGCGGCTGAATAAAGCACCACGAGAGACGGAATGGCTCGAAACCACCACCATTCGTCATGATCACAGACCTGCAATTTAATTGGAGTCAGCAAGGAAGGCTCCTCCCCGCTCCCTGTGACGAGAGCTGGTGGCACAGCTGACGGGGGTCCAAGATGGCACACTCACGCGGCAGGCAGGTGGTGCTGGGTGGCAGCTCCTCCCAAGACACTGGCCGTGTCGCCTTCCACGGCCTGGTCTCGAAGCCACCAAGCACCATACGCTAAGTGGAGGCTCCCGTGGGGACTCGCCTGCTGCAGCAGCTGTGATGACCCTGCGCACGCCTGCCTCTGCCACTGGCTCGGAGGTGGCCCCGTCGGTAGTGTGTGACACCCCTGGAAAGCTCTATGCTGCTCTCCCCATCATCAGCCAAGTGTCACCGTGGGGAAGGGGCACCAGAACAGCAGGGCTGAGAGGCAAGGGCGCCTGCCCCAGCACGCCGTGGGCCCGCACGCCGTGGGCCCGCACGCTGGGGTGGCTGGTGCGCTGGTGCTGAGTGCCTTTGCCGCAGGGACCTCTGTCCAGCAGCGCTGCACGGAGCCACCTAGAGGAGAGCTGCCCCATCCCAGAGCTCGAGGTCTGGTGGCCAGTGCTGACGGGTCACGACAGAGCAGCACAGCCACTCCCAGACCCCAGCGCTCGCTCGTGGGCCCTGCGCACCGTGGCCGCGGTGGCAGTGGGTGGAGGCTGTGCACGGGCTCCCTCGCCACGGCTCGCCTGGCCCCCAGCACAGAAACCCCCGAAAGGCTGCCTTCCCAGGGGACAGCCAGGCACCGGCAGCAGCTTGGTGCATGGGGCCCCTCGCATCGGGGGGCAGTGATGTGCCCTCACTTGGGCAGACACTCACTCTGGGCCCTCCTGCCACCTGCGGTGCTGCCACCAGCATCCCCTGTGCCCCGGGGCCTGGGCAACACCGCTCCCCAGGGAGGAAGTCACTCCACGGGAGGGGCAAGGAGGTGGGTGCAGGCCGCGGGCTTGCCGTCTCACGCGCCCACGGCCAGGAGCCGCTGGGCACGGGGCAAGCTGGCGATGGCCCACTAGAGACTTAGTGACGGGACCGCTGGGGTGACCGACCAGGGCTGGGTGCTGAGCTGAGATGCAGTGTGTGCTCTGAAGCGGGGCGCAGGCGGGAACCAGGGCTGCGGGGCGCGTGGCTCCGGGTGCTTGTGAATGGCTCTCGCCCCCGTGAAAGCTTCTGCCGGGAACACGGAGCCCGAAGTCGAGACAGGCCACGCCAGGCTCTCCCGGCACTGACCCACAGGCCAGAAGACACACAGTGGCGGTGACCATGCTGCGTGGCCAGGTGGAGGTGTGCTGCCCAGGTAGCGTGTCAGCGGACACTTTCAAGCCCAGGAGGTTGTCCACAGCGCCAGGAACGCAGCATTTGCGGGGCAGCGCCTCGGGCACAAAACGTCTGAGCGCCTGGGGAGACTGGCCTCCCCGGAACGCAAGGTTCCCACCTAAAGACTGATGCGGGCATTCTGGAAACGCACATAAAGCACACCATCTAGAACATTCCAGGCCCTACCGTCCACACTGTGCCATTTCGCGCTGCCCCACAGGGCCGCTGTGTGCGCAGCCAGCTCCGAGGTCGGGGGGCGGCGGACTCGAACTCCGGCTCCTGGCGCTGCCGC